TTAGGGTTACCTCTCTATGGTAATTGTGAGGCAGGAGACTATGTGTTCACACCCCACTCATTAATGCAGAATCCCAGTGCCTCTCAGAGGGAGCGCTGCCTTTCAGGTCAGTCCCTGTGCATTGATGCTAGACTCCTCACAACACTATTGGGAGAGTGGTAGAGTTAGCCCTGCTCTCCTGACTAACATTGTTGCTTAACCAACATCATTGGAACAGACAATCTAGTCATTCTCACGTTGCTGTTTGCAGAATGGGGCATGGTTTGAGCACTGGTTAACAGAAAGTGTGGGAATGGATGGGCTGTTCTCCGGTTGACAGGCTGTGACAAAGTGGACTAATGCAAGGATCAATGCTTGCGCTCAGCACTTATTGAGCCAATGACAATGATTTGGACGTGGGAACAAAATGTAATATTTCCAAATTTTTGGATGATAGAAAACAAGATCAGAATGCGCCTGCTGCAGCAAAGAATTCCACAGATTCACAACCGTCTGAGAGAAGAAATTCCCCTGCATGTGTTTTAAATGTGTGATCCCTTATTCTGAGAGTATGCCCTCTGGTCCAAGACTCTCCGAAAGAAGAAAGCAATCTTTTCCGCATCTACTGTAACAAGTCCCTGAAGAATCTTGTATTTTTCAATAAGGTTGCCTCTCATTCTTCTATTTCCAATGAGAACAGGTCCAATCTACTCAGCCTGTCCTCACAAGACAGTCCCTCCCTACCTGTGAACCATCTGTGGACTACCTCCAATGCCAATATCTCTTTCCTTAGATAAGTGCCCCAAAACTGTTCAGTGTTCCAACTGTGGTCTGACTAGTGCTATACTGGACTGTTCTTGTTTTCTAGCCAGTTGGCCGGGTATGTCAAGTGTCTTTTCCAAACGCAGTTGTCTGACAGTTAAGGCTTTTCCTGTCCCATGTTTCTGTCTCCCTCCTAGATTGAAGGCTTCCTACGAGTGCCTGCAGGGTGAGCCAAGTCTGGCAGCAATTACTGGATATGCATCTATTTCCGGGCTCCTCCGTGCACCCTGTGACATGTCCCAGTTTTATTCCAATGGAATCTTTGTGTCTGTCTGTGTCCTGCGGAGGAGGCTTGTAGTTGACTGCCCAACCTGTTGAGGCTCGCCCTTATAATTCTGTGGAACAAGATCGTCTGTGTGCCTATAATTTGTTGGGCTTTTCAGTGCCCTCTGGGCTGCTGTGTGTTACTCTGTGGAGTAATTTTGTCTGCACTGGCGTTGGGGGGGGGGGGGGGGGGGGGAGCGGTGATGAATGGGATGACGGATGGATCATTAGCAGTAAGTTTCAGAAAGGGAATTGCGTTTCTCATTCGAGAAAACAAATGAAACACTTGCGGGCCTGTGGGGAAATAAACACGAGGACTGGAACTCATTGGGTAGCTCTCTCAAAGAGCCAGCAGCAGTCCAGTGGGCCAAATGGGCTGTTGCTTTGGGTTCTGTTTTGAAGGGACTGGAGTCTCAGCTGAAATATTGTGTACAGTTCTGGGCATCACATGATAGGAAGGATGCGAGCACGTTGGAGAGAGTGCCGAAATGATTGACCAGAATGGTCCCTGGAATGAGAAACTTCAGTTACCGGGATAGATTGAGGAAGTTAAAGAATGGAAGAAATAGAACCAGGATTAGACCACTCAGCCCATCCACCCTGCTCCACCATACAATCCAATCAAGGCTAATCTTGGACTTCAATTCCACTTGCCCACCTACTCCCCATGACACTCAATTCCCTGAGCGATCAAAAAGCTCTCTATCCCAGCCTCAGATATATTGAGCAAAGGAGCATCTAAATCCTCTGGGTTAGAGAATTCCGAATCTTTGACTGAAGCAATTTCTCCTCATCTCAGTTCTAAATAATCAGCCCCTTTCCCTGAGGCTGTGAAACAATTTCACAACTTTTCATGCCCCTGTCTAACCTCTGCACAAAACAGACCTAATTCATTCAGCCTGTTATCATTGGACAGTGCCCTATCCCTGTCCCCCAATGAGTGAATCTCACTGTATCTCCCCTTGTGCAAGTTATAGGAACATAGAATGTCTACAGTGTGGGAGCAGACCATTCTGCCCATTGAGTCTACACTGACTCTCTGAAGAGCATCCCATCCAGACCCAGCCTGGCCCTGTAACCCTGCCTTTCCCATGGCTAATCCATCCAGCATATACATCCCTGGATACTATGGGCAATTTAACATGGCCAATCCACCTAATCTGCACATTTTGGGACTGCATGGAAACAGGAGCACCCAGAAGAAACCTACACAGACATGGGGAGAATGTCCACACAGACAGTCACCTGAAGGTGGAATCGAACCCTGGTCCCTGGTGCTGTGAGGCAGCAGTGGTAACCACTGAGCCACTGTGTCAGCCTGAGAGGTTGAGAGTGTTCAGTTATGTGTAGAGACTAATGAGGCTGGGACTTTTCTCCTTTAAGCAGAGAAGGCTAAGGGGAGTTTCAATATGGGCTTTCAAAATCATGAATGGTTTCGATAGAGTGAGAAGAGTTTTGCAGTGGTTCAAGGAGGCAGCTCACCACCAACCCCAACCCCACCCCCACTATCTCAAGGCAACGAGGGATGGGAAAGAAAACACTGGCCAGGCCCCCAAGATGACAACACCCATGGCTCACAAGTGAATTAAATTAACAAAGGACTAGTGGGAAGAGAAATTGTGTCAGTCAATGGTTTGGAATTCTCTATCCCACAGAGGGTGGTGCGTGTGTGGAATGAACTGCCAGAGGAAGCCGTGGAGGCTGGTACAATTACAGCATTTAAAAGACACCTGAATGGGTATGTGAATAGGAAGGCTTTAGAAGGATATGGGTCAAATGCTGACAAATGGGGCTAGATTAATTTAAGATAGCTGGTCAGCATGGACGAATTAGACCAAAGGACGCTGTACAGCTCTATGACTTTAAAAGCAATGAACAGGTGACAAAAGGACAGCAGAGAGGGCAGGTTCACATTATGGAGCAATAACAGAAGGGAAAAAGTGGGTCCAGAGGACATGTAAGTGGCAACACTGCAACCATCAACAGCTCACACCATCTGAAAAGATAGGAATGGTAATTTGGGTCTGAAAGCGCTGAACTCAGTGTTGAGATTGCAAGTGTTTAAATCAGACAGTGTTTCTCATATTCCTGTCGAGCTTTATTGGAACAGTGTGACAGACCAAGGCCAGAGCTTTCAGTGTGCTGCTTATTAATGTTCTCAAGCAGACAGGGATGACTTAGAAATGAAAGCAAAATACTACAGATGCTGAAAATCTGAAATAATACCCAAACAGTTCTGGCAGCATCTGTGGGCAGAGAAACAGAGTTTTGTAGATTTACCTAGAACGCAAAGCACTGCAAAGAAAAACCCCATTTGGTCTAACTAGCTTGTGTTAATATTTATATCTTTGTATCTTCCATATGTATAAGACTGTAAAGCATAGCAGCAGAAGTAGGACAGTCAGCCCACTGAGTCTGCTGTACCATGCAATGAGATCCTGCCTGAACTGATAACCCTCAACTCCACTTGCCCACTCACACACTCACACACACACACCCGGCCATCAATGATTTCCTTACTGATGAAAAATCTATCTCAGCCTTGATTGTACTTACTGATCCAACCTCAAACAGCCCTCTGTGGTAAACAATTCCACAGATTCACTACCCTCAGACAAGAAATTCCTTCCTCATTTCTGTGTGACCCCTTATTCTGAGATTATGCCCTCTGAGTCTCTAGGATCAGGGGGAAACAATCTTTCAGTATCTACCCTGTCAAGTCCTCTAAGAGTCAAAAAAACTGCAGATTCTGGAATCCAAGGTAGACAGACAGGAGACTGGAAGAACACAGCAGGCCAGGCAGCATCTGGAGGAAAGGAGCAGTCAATGTTTCAGGTATTACCCTTCTTCAGGACTGGATGTTGGGGTAGGGAGAGCTGCAGATAAAGAGGAGGAGAGGGGGGCTTTAAAGAGGTCACAGCAGTGTGGCAATGAGAAAGGGACTCACTGAGTTCATGTCTGAGGGAGGTAGAGAAAAGCCCCTAAGAATCTTGTACATTTCGGTAAGATTTTCTCTCATTCTTCTATAATCCAATAACGACAGGCCCAACCTACTCAACCTCTCCTCATAATACAGTCCCTCCATACCCAGGATTTATTTTCTTCTGGACTGCCTCCAGTTATATTCTTCCTTACGTAAGAGGAGCAGAACAGAGATAGGAACTGCAGATGCTGGAGAATCTGAGGTAACAAGGTGTAGAGCTGGATGAACACAGCAGGCCAAGCTGCATCAGAAGTGGGAAGAAGGGTCTAGACCTGAAACGTCGGCTTTCCTGCTCCTCTGACGCTGCTTGGCCTGCTGTGTTCATCCAGCTCTACACCTTGTTAGTTCAGTGCTCCAGCTGTGGTCTGACTACTGAGTTCTGAGGAAGGGTTACCAGACCTGAAACGTTAACTCTGTTTTCTCCTTCACAGATGCTGTCAGACCTGCTGAGTTTTTCCAGCAACTTTGTTTTTGTTGTGGTCTGATTACTGCCTTGCATAGTTTTAGCAAAACTTCCCCCATTTATATTCTTTTCCTTTGAAATAAAGGAGAACATTCCCTCTGCTTTCAGTATTACCTGCTGAACTTAGATATTAGCTTTTGTCTGATTGATGGACAAGGAATCCCATTTCCTTCTTTTAAATACTATTTGTCCTGCTAAAGGGCAGAACCTTATGTTTCCCACATTATATTTCACCTGCAAAACTTTTTTTGCCCACTCACTTAAACTGTCTACCTCCCTCCACATTTCTGATTATCAGCATGACCCTCTGACATATACACCAAATCTCTCCTGAGCTGCATCTACATTTTTCATTTACGACACTGACAGCGGTCACAAGCTCCACATTCTCACCATCCTCTGAGAAAAGATGTTGAATGGATGTATTGTGAATGGACCATTGGAATCAGGAGACCTACCTTGCAAATTAACCAATCTGTTTCCTTTCAGGCACGCCTCACAAGTCCCGCCACCCTGGTTGCCAAGCCGCTAGACAGACACCATGGGTGTATCGCAGCTGGTGACCTGCTGTCTTTCTGTCCCATGTTGCCTGCTCATCATCAGGTGCAATTCCATGGCCTTGCAGAGTTCAGAATGCCTTCTAGAAAATGAACTTCAGTGTAACAAGAAGGACCATCCAGTTGTGAACTTTAACGGTAAGAGAACAAGCATCAAAAGAAACTGCAGGTGATATCTTTTGGAAGATGTTGAGATGAGTGGTCGCTGTTGCTGGAAATATGGCACATTTCTTAACGACTTCAATAAAAGCAGGAAGTGCTGGGAGAAACTCAGAAACTACTTCTGAAGCAGAGTCACACTGGACTCAAAACGTTAATTCTGTTTCTCTCTCCACAGAAACTACCAGACCTGTTGAGTTTCGCTAGCATTCTGTTTTTATTTCTGATCCCCAGCATCCATGGTATTTTGCTTTTATTTCCACCTTTGTACTCAACTCACTCAAGATTAATGACTCTTGCTTATTCACCTGAAGTTCCACTGGGGCGACATGATGGCTCAGTGGTTAGCACTGCTGCATCACAGCGCTAGGGACCTGGGTTTGATTCCAGCCTCGGGTGACTGTCTGTGGGGAGCTTGCACATTCTCCTCTGTCTGCATGGGTTTTCTCCGAATGCTCCGGTTTTCTTTCACAGTCCAAAGATGTGCAAGCTAGGTGGATTGGCCATGCTAAATTGCCCATAGTGCCCAGGGATGCTCTTCAGAGGGGCGGTGTGGACTTGTTGGGCTGAATGGCCTGTTTCCACATTGTAGGGATTCTATGATTCTATATCTGCTCAAAGTTCAGGTGGCCAGCATCTTTAGACAATTCACCATCTCTCATCCTAGTGAGTACTTCAGAAACGCAACTAGATTAGCCATACATGATGTATCCTTTATAAATCCACACTGACCCTTTCTGTTCAACTTATACTTGTTCAGTCCCTCTGGCTACTGATGGATACTGGTGTTCCTCTCAAAACTGATGTTACAATTAAACGTCTCTAGATAACTGATTTCTCATATCTTGCAAACCTTTTTAAATAATCAAGTCACATTTGGAATTTTCTGTTCCAAGTGGACAATTTCTGAATCTAGAGAGTTTTGAAAATTTTTCGCAGTGTGCCTGTAATTTTCTTGGGTTTTTCTTAAAATATACTGATGTGGAAACAGCCATGCTTTGGCATTTTAACTGAAAAGTCCCATTATTTTCTCCATCACCGTTCTTACTTGTATCATGTTATTAGTCTTGCTGATACCAGATTTTTTTTAATCCCCTTCCTCCATTATGACCACTTATTGTAAAACCTTAATTCATCAAGTCTGCCATTTCCTTATTTTCCTCTGTTCCCCAGTGATCACTTCCTTGGAGTAAGAAGGTTGTGAGTTCAAGTCTGACTACAGATATACAAATAGACAATCGAGGCTCACGTTCTAATGCTAAACTGTCAGAGATGTTGTCTTTCTAGATGAGGCCCTTTCCAACAGCACTATTTTGAAGTAGAACAGGCGAATTGACCCTGTTGATTCAGCCAATATTTATCTTTCAACAAATAATTCTTCACTGAATAATCTGGTCATTATAATATTGCTGTTGGTGGGAGCTTGCTGTAGGCAAATTGGCACCTTGGTTTCCAGTATTTACAATGGTGACTGTATTTCAGAATTGGCTGTAGTGTAATAATGGACATCCTGAAATTGGGAAAGGCACTATGTTAGTGCAGACTTTTCAATATTTTTTCATCTGATCCTGCAAACTTGCTCAGATACCATACCTCTGCTAAATTGCTCATCTTTAACACACTGGGGAGCGCAAGTTCATAGTTCTTTGAAAGTGGAGTTGCAGGTAGACAGGGTAGTGAAGAAGGTGTTTGGTACGCTTGCCTTTATTGGTCAGTACATTGTGTATAGGAGTTGGGAGGTCATGTTGCAGCTGTATAGGACATTGTATAGGACATTGGTTAGGCCACTTTTGGAATAAGTGCAATTCTGGTCTCCCTGCTATAGGAAGGATGTTGTGAAATTTGAAAGGGTTCAGGAAAGATTTACAAGAATGTTGCCATGGTTGGAGGGTTTGAGCAGCAGGGAGAGGCTGAATAGGCTGGGGTTATTTTCCCTGAAGCATCGGAGGCTGAGGGGTGAACTTACAGAAGTTTATGAAATCATGAGGAGGGCAGAAAGGGTAGGGGAGCCCAAAACTAGAGGGCATAGGTTTAAGGTGAGAGGGGAAAAATTTAAAAGGGACCTAAGGGGCAACTTTTTCACACAGAGGGTGTTGTGTGTATGGAGTGAGCTGCCAGAGGAAGTTGTGGAGGCTGGTACAGTTACAACATTTAAAAATAGGAAAGGTTTAGAGAGATATGGGCTAAATGCAGGCAAATGGGACTAGGTTAATTTGGGATACCTAGTCAGCATGGACGAGTTGGACCGAAGGGTCTGTTTCTGTGCTGTACTGCTCTAAGACTCTATGATTATGGTGTGAAGCAGTGGGGTTTGAGGAGTGGGAGTTGGCGATAAAAAGAAAATAAGCCAGAGATCACAAACCCAATCTTTATGAGAAAGGTTGAAATGTTTTAAATCCTTCGCAGGCTGTAAAGTAGTAACACTTGCTGTCTAACTGGGAATGTGAGCTTTGACTGTCGTAAATAGTTCAGAACTTGATTTGAGGATTAGTTCCATTTGGAAGAATGTTCTATAGCTTTGCAGCAGCGTGATGAGTGAGATTGATTTCAGATTATTGACAATGAGTCAAAATATGTTGTCTTCAGTGCTTGATAAAAGCATCCCGTTGCCTTGGTAACTTCTCCTGAAAGACACAGCTAAGTTTTTAAAAAGGTGGGATGTTGCTTTCTACAGCATGAGGATGATTTGACTTTCTCACCAAATTCTCTTTTTGTGTTTCCTGATGGTGTTTACTGAAAATTCGCACTGACAAAAATATTCTCTCGTCTTCACATCTGGCACTAGCTGTCAACATGAGGGATAATGTGTTGTTTGTGCGTGTGTGTGTGTGTGTGTGTGTGTGCATATGCATGTTTCTGTACATAGTTTTATATGTGCGTGAGTATGTGTGTTTCTCTGCATGTTTCTATTTGTGTGCATGTATGTGTGTGTTTCCATGTTTCTGTGTGTGTGTGCACATGTGTGCATTTCTGTGTGTGTCTGTATTTGTGTGTGTGTGCGCGGTTTGTCTTTGTGTGCATGTGTTGTGTGCATGTGAATGTTTTTGTGTGTTTGTACATGTGTTTGTCCTTTGTGTGCGGCTGTGTGCATGCATGTAAGTTTTGTGTGTGTTTGTCTTTGTACGTGTGTGTGTGTGTGTCCTGTGCGTGCCTTTGTCTTTTTGCGTTTGCACATATGTCAGTTTGTGTGTCCGAGAGGGCTGTGTACATATATCTTTGTCCTTGTGCATTTGTACGTGTGTATGTATACACACAGTACGTGTGTGTGTGTCTGTGTTTTATTTTCTCAACTCATCCCTTTATAATCTATAACTGGTATAAACAGAGGAATTAGTTTCTCTCTATACAACTTGTCAACCTTTCTAAATCATCTTAAAACTGCCCAAGAAGATCACACCATTATGTTCTATACACAAGGGACTACATGCCTGGTTGGGGGGTGGGGGGCAGCCCATTTAACCCCAGTATCATTCTGGTGAAACTGTGTTTGATCCACTCTGAGACCCTGAGGTGTGTCAACCTCAGCTGAATGTGGTTACTTCCAATATACGGCATAACACGAAAGTGCCCAGCAATAAGCCCAGTGCGGGGTAGGTATTATTTGACGGGCCAAGTGAGTTGCATGTCCCAACCATTCATGCTCTGGATGTTACAAAGGGAAAGAGTAACATAATGCTGTAAAAGTGCTGGCGATTGGGCAGCTGATGGGCCGAGACTTTAAGAAGGCATTGTTTCTTTGTGATTGCCCAAAGGTGCTGACTGAGAGTTGGCAGCCTGCTTTCAACCGTTGTCACGGTAACCCAAGAATCCATCAGAATTACAAACCCCTCACCCCCCATGATAAAAGCAGAAAGTTAAGTCTTGGCATTCAGTTTCAATTCATTTTAATTTAAAACCGTGGCATTGACAGATAACAGACTGCGCTTCCCACAGCCGGAGGGTCTCATAAAACTAATGACAGCAAAGGTTACACTTTGATGGGAAGGATGTTGGTCTGCTTATAAATTAACTGTGCCATTTGAACTTTACAGTTCTTTTTCCTCTCAAGAAATACTGAGGTAGGGACAGGACCCCTGCGATCTCTTGTTCAGTGTTTCAATTAATACATTTACTGTACCGTGTGTAACAATTTATTCCTGAGATGGGCAGGATGGTGGCAAAGGCACATTTATTATCCTTTCCCTAATTGCCAGGAGAATGTGATTGACTATTCTAGTGTTCTCTTGGCCCATGTCCAACCTTCCATTCTCTGTTTCCTTCAGCTCATCTACAACTCTGCAGCACAGATTCTAACTCACACCCTTTCATCTGTGTTCACTGACCTACATTGACTCTCGGTTTTGCAATGTACTAATTTTCAAATCCGCATCTCGCCATGGCATCTCCCTATCCTGATTGCTGTCAGCCCTCTCACATTCTAAAAACGTCTGTGCCTCTCCAGTCCTGACCTCTTGCACACACTGGATTTTCCTCGCTCCACCAAGCTTTGCAGTTAACTGTCAATTAGCCTTAACTGGGGCATTACCCATGGCAATGCCTTGACCAATCACCCATCCATTTGCTAACCAATCAGCATCTGCCTTTCAAATGGTACGAGTATTATGTTTCTCTTACATTAGTAATTCTTATGAATTGTCCTGTACAGTTGTCATTGTACATAGATCACTAAGCATCTGGGTAAGGCTCACACAGTGTGTGGACCCTTTGGTCATTCAGTCTATTGACATCTCTTCTTCTCAAGTCTTCAGTGGCTGACTAGGCCGCTGTAGTGGCAGCCCTATATGGTATAGGTGGTGACCCCTTCGAGTCCAATTTCTGTCTCTATTCCAATTGTTTCTTAGAGCAAGATTCAACAATTACAAGACCCTTAGAACTGATGCTGTCAGAATTAAGGGGTACAAATTTAAGATTGAGATGAAGAGAAATTTCTTCTCTCAGAGGGTTGAGAGTCTTTAGAACTCCTTGTCCCAGAGAGATGT